AGTGAGGATATAATGAATCAGCAACTTTCAAAGTTGGAGAAACATAGCTTTTGTGACATATTTGTGCTTCATCATCCTTACAAAACCGCCGACAAACATGGAATTGAAATGTCTTTCTTTCAAAGCTGGAACATGACAAATAAAAAGTGACACGGCACTATTTTCCATTTAGAAAAATAAGGAACCTATTCTATAAGGAACCTATTCCACCTATTTAAAAAAAATAATAATAGAATAACTCAATATCTTGGCCGGACACCCAAGAGGTGACGCAGGAAGTGACCACTATAGCAACCAGGACAGGTGTCTAAAACCCATTAACACTATTGGGACTAAGTGCTACATTTTCCACCATTAGTTAATTGTGATTTTATCTGACGTTAAACAGGCATTGCAGATAGCTGTATATAATTTTACCTCCGATGAATGTTTAGAAGCAATATATTCATATATATTTAAAAATATTTCACCACAGAATGTAAACACATTAATCACTGCTTTGGGACAGCTTATAATGAGCTATACGTGTTACCCAACAAAACGTATCACACAAATACCTGCAAAACTCATTTTAAGGTTTGGGTCATTGAATATTTAAAGAAAAACAACAGTCATTTATCAGATCCTAAGTTCATTGTGAATAAAACAGCCACACAGAAGCGAACAGTTCCTTCAAAATAAAAACAAAATATGCCATAACACTCAGCTTCACAGTAACTTTCCATTACAGCAGTGTGTGTTTGTGTGTGATGGGAGAGGTTGGACATGAAAACTACAGACAAGAGTTTTGGCAAACAATTTCTGTTCGACATAAACCGGGAATTGATCACGGCTGAGAGAGAGAGAGATCAGTAGCAGGACAGCTATCAACAGTCGAAATGCATCTCGAGAGCATCTTCAAAACTCTGGTCCTCGTCTGCGCTGGACGTGAGGAAAGAGGCCATCGGGGAGCCTGCGGACAGACTGAGAACTCCTGCAGTGTTCGTGCCAGCGTTTCTGACAGAAATACTGGTGAGGTTGATTCCGAGAGTGAGTCTGGTTTGCTCCAGGGCTTTTTCGGGCACGGCGAAAGCCTCCAGCTTCTTCTCCCCGTTGGCCATGTATGAGTTCTGGCAGCCCCTGCAGATGCAGTCCAAACAGGCCTTACGGTTGGAGTAGCAGGGGCATCTTTGACCTCTGCAGGTAAGGACACTTGGATTCTGAGTGGCTCGTCCACACTTGCATCCTTTTTTCTCTTGCGTCTTTTTGTATACGACTTTAGGGGGCTGTCCTGGTTGTCCTGCTAAAACGCTAGCTGACAGCAGCCTGTCCCTCACCTTGGCCTTTGCCTTCGGGACGGCCACTTTAGACTTCACCTGAACTTTCTTATTACCTAGGTCTGTGTTTATCTGGATATTTTTAGTTGAATCCAGCACAGCCTTATTAACCTTCAAAACACCTCCGTTAGTGAGCACGGCAGCAGGTGGCGAGGGCGCTTTTGGTTCAAATGCGGTTTTCGGCGGAGCTGTGGCTGCTACCGATGGCCCCTGGATGAGGCTGGTGATGGGCAGAGGTTGGAGCATCTCGCTGTCGCTTTCAGAGCGAGAACGCTTTCGGCTCAGGCGCACTTTTCTGTGGGCTGTGGCGAGGCACGTTAGGCCCGTCTGAGGTTGTGGTGGGTGTCCTGGCGCAAGGGCGCCGCTGGTTTGGGACTGTAATGAGTTCTGACACGGCTCGGGTGTTGATTTAGTCTGTCCCCACGACACCTCCTTGCTCGTAATGTCAGGTTTAAGGTCCTCCTGGACGCTTGTGCTCTCCGCACTGAGTTGCACCAATTCGGCGCTTGTCTCTTGACTAACTTTGCACTTTACGTTAACAGTGACAGTACCCATGTGTAGTTCTGAGTCAGATTTCTGAGGTCTGTCAGTAGTGACAGGCTCAGGGGTCTCTAGTTCAGCTGGGATCTGCTCAGAGGGTTTGTCCGAGTCAGTCAAGTTGACATCAGTAGAGTTTTGTGAGGAGTCAGTCTCTGTTTTGAGATTAGGAACATCTAAAGTGTCTTTGACAGGACTGAGGTCTTCTTGTTCCTGACTCACCCCCAACACCTCCTCCAGCATCTTCATGACCTCAGGGTAACCCTTGACCCCCGAGGCACTCTGCTCTGTTGTGACGCACACCGAGACACACTCGCAGAGATTCCTGTAGCAGTCGATCAGAATCTGGAGCTGTTTATTCTCCTCAAATTGCTCATAGTCTTTACACCAGCTGCATGATGGTTTCAATAACATTTTCTTGCCTTTACAACCCTTACAAACATAGTGCTGGCAGGAGGAATTTTTTGGTGCAACTGGATCCTGAAGCAAATTCCCTACATAAAAAGTAAACAATAGATTAATTTACAGCAATTATGCATAGCTAAATAACATCTTAGTATATTTAGTTCTATAGAGTGCAACAGTCAAGTTTTGGAAGTAAAAAAAAAAATCCTATTAATTTTCTCCAAAGAAAAAATTATTTTAACAACTTATAAACCATTAAAAACAGACATACTGGGTGCTACTATCCCTATGCTCTCAAACGTCTTAATATATTTGTATGCATAATATGACTATTTAAAAAATAGTTTCTTAATATATAATCATCTTTAAATCAGTTTTATATTTTTCCATCGTTTTTATTTAATCACTATATCAATTATATCAATGCTTCATGGGATTGTAGTCCGATTTTCAAATAATCTTTTCTTCAAACCAAATGTTGTAGCTGGTTGGTTTGATTCATAACTCAAACGAAGATTTGTTAAAAATCAGTACGGGAAAAATACTTGCAGGACCAAAGCTGCTGAAAAGTGGGCAGGCACTGTTGTAGCAGATAGTACCGGTCCTGAATGCTGATTGGTTGATACAGTGTTTCGCCATATCACTGCAAAGCGAAGATCGTTTTGTTGATGTTGTGTAGCAACTAGTGCTGTCAAACGATTCATCGCGATTAATCGCATCTAAAATAAAGGTTTTTGTTTACATATTATATGTGTGTGTTGTGTACAGTATACAGTACACATACAGTATATATCTTTAAAATAATTACATGTATATATTTATATTCATATAATTTATATTACATATAAACATAATTAATATATAAACAACGTATTTATATATATATATATATATATATAAATATATAAATGCATGTGTGTGCATTTATATATACATAATAAATATACACAACATATATTACGTAAACAAAAACTTTTATTTTGGATGCGATTAAACACGATTAATCGTTGGACGGCACTACAAGCAACTCAGTAATTTGCTTAATAAAATTACGTTTAAATGAAAAACTGTGCTCAATATTTTATTAAGAAGTAATAAAAGCAATAAGACACTCGAGGCTGTGCTGTACTGAGAACATATACGCGTGTTGCTTATTATATTAACGCAAATTAAATCGTGTGACTATATTCTAAACATAGCACGGCCTCTGGTACATAAAAGCACTTACCGCACACCAAGCAGGATAGGGAGTCTCTAAAGAAAGGCAGGACGTTAAACAGCCCTCCGTATGTGTCCGGGTCCTTCGGGTCGCACAGCAGAAGAGAGCGGCACGCCGATACGTACAGCGCGGTGGCGTTCACCGGGTTCATCTCAGTGAGATCAGTCAACGGCAGGACGAGAGAAGCGGGCTGATCGGCTACTGACAGCGAGTCTTGCTCAGACCCCCAATACACGATAACTGTGAGAACACAATCAACCAGGCTTCACCCAACGCCTCAAACAAAGAGTGTAATTTGACATGACTCGCAAGCAGATGAGCGGCTTTGAGTCGTCTGCTTGTTAACATGTCAACGCTTTGCTGGATATTGTGAAGATCCTCCAGACGGTCAGTCCGGTGATAATAAGCTGGTGTAGGCGATGTAACACAGACTAGAGTCTGCTTTCCATGCGTGTCAGATCCCAAATGCCTCAGTAGAAAGAGCTTTTGTGATAAAGCGCACAGACACGAAGGACTGAACGATAAACAGCATTTTAGTGAGAGACACAACAGGCCTCGAGCTGTAACATTAACGTTACTGTCGGTGGCGCGAGCTCTGTGTATAAACGATCCACAAACACGAAATGGAAAAACAGAAAAAACTGAGTCGAACAAAAAGTAAAAATCTTGAAATAGTCCAGCATAGCGGTTGTTTTTTAAAGTTTAACTGAACAAATCACAATTCGACTGGTTGCTAGTTCGCTAGCTAGCTAATATTGTCTGCACTTTTCTTCGTGTTGTTGAATAAGAGCGCTTTTCTCTCCTCAACTAGTGCGACAAACTCCCATTTGAGTGATATGTTTATGTAGCGTTCAACTGAGTTCGCTACGCTACAAAATATTTACATACATTAGCCTATGCTAAGAGCCAGTTTCGTTGCTTATTATTCCTCTCTGTTAAGTTTTGCATCCTGAGGAACAATACCAAACAAGCTTAAAAGAGCGCCTGGAATTACACGCGGCCTCCAGTGATTACTGCCCCCTAGTGCCTGAGTGTATTAACCACACGCTACTGCGAGCAGGGCTCTGTGCTGCATCTAGGCTACACTCTGAGATAAATAATTACTTTCTCTCGTTAAATGACATAACATTTAGTAATAATCAATAAAAACATCTAGCTAATTATGCTGTCGATGTCTGTTCTGCTTTTACGTCTCTCACTATGTTTGTATTTAAATTATTGTGACTTTTGACTCTTAAATGACTAAAAAGATATATGTGTGTGTGTGTGTGTGTGTGTGTGTGTGTGTATATATATATATATATATATATATACTTACTAACTGTTGGGAACTGTAGTTTATCATGGTTGACATTAGTATGGACTACATCTATCAAGTTCGCTTAACTACACACATCTCCTCGGTGATTGGATCACTCACTCACGCCCGCTTCGCTAACCGAGTAGTGATTGGCTGTAAAAAGTAGGTGCTCGTTTGTGATTGGCTGAAGACAGCGTCAGGTTTTCCCACAAAATCGCGTGCCCTCAGTGTAGCAGTGATGGCGACCTACACGTTAATGCGAAGTAGCCTGGGAATATTACACGGGCTGAAATGTTCTTTTAAAAGTGTAGGTCAGATTCCGTACGCTGGGGTACTTACCCAGTCGAAAGTTCTGCAAAATGCAAGATGCTATTCGGTCAGCCATCTGTCAGTGCAGGAGAGAATCGAGAAGAAACGAAAGGCAGCGCTTACAGGAGGAGGGCAGCTGAGGATAGCTGCACAGCACAAAAGGGTAAGTTAAGACAACTTACTGGAGAATGAATGCAGCTGACATGACATGAGTGAAAGCACAACAGTCTGAGAAGAGCTCTGAAATCCTGGGCGCAGGGTAAACTGACAGCGCGAGAGAGACTGGAGCTCCTGCTGGACCCCGACTCGTTTGTGGAGTATGACATGTTTGTGGAGCATCGCTGTTCTGACTTTGGCATGGAAGCAGATCATAATAAGGTATGAAACCTCCGCCTCAGCTCAAAGAATCTACATAACTGAATACAGAAACATTTCCATTTGGATGTCATAAGTTAAGAAATACCGTTAAATGCCTTGCTCTCGAATGGCAGGGCAGGGCCGGGTCTAGGGGGGTTTCTGTGGAGGCAATGCCCCCCAGATTCTCCTTGTGCCCCCCCAAAAAAATGTCCAGCCAAAAAAAAAACCAAATAAGCATTAAACACTTATTATTTGTACTATCTAAATAAGGATCAGTCACTTTGTTCAAAGGAAAATTTAACAATTATGCACATAATGACATTTGAACTCATAGCCACAAAATTGTATTACCGTATTGACCCGAATATAAGACGATGTTTTTTTTCTTGGAAATACATCTGAAAAAACACGGTCGTCTTATATTCAGGGTCTAGACTTTGACATGTCAATAATACACCCACAACAATAAATGGCGCCAAATACGCATAAAACATGTTGCATTTAGCTAACAGCTTTTTTTAATCTCTGTATTTTAGCATTTGTTGATGCTGAAAATCAGTTATACTGGGATCCTAGTCTAAAAAAAAATATTAAAAACGCAAAACACACCTGATGCGAATTCTTTGCTCTTCATTTTCTATAAGCAGAGTTAACAGACCCTGTTGTATTTTCTTGTAATTTATTAAAAGAAGGTACACCGCCATCTTGTGCCGACTAAACTGACTTGAACGCACCTGACTCGTAATTACGACTTGTCAACTCGTAAAAGTACGAACGTCCCAGGAGGACTTGAACGCAGCATAAACACATATTTAACATATATTTAACATTTCTGCACTCACACAGACACAAAATGCAAGACTGAAAATTGAGTAAATAAAAGTAAACTATGAATATATTACCCTAGAAAGTGCTGCCCTACCACAATTTCTGATTGCCCCCCCAGTCCAGCGAGCCTAGTACCGGGCCTGCGAGTGCAGATGCAACATCGTCTATTACATTTTCTAGGTCCATCTATGAAAAGGACGTTTGCATAGTTGCAAAGTTTGACAAAGAGAGTTTCAAAGATTAAAAAACATCTTGTTAAGCAAATATTTTTTTAAGCAAGTAATTCTTAACCAGGAGACTGGGGCCCACTAGGGGGCGAACTTACAGAGTGGGGCCTAATCAGTCACTAATTTTGTAAAATTGCATGTGTCTTTTACATGCACCTGTGTGTTCAGTACCCAGGAGACAGTGTAGTGACCGGACAGGGAAGGATCAATGGCAGACTGGTGTATGTTTTCAGCCAGGTATGATACTAGTTTTCGAATGTTGGTTTGCGGTAATTAAATATTTTATTTTAATATCTCAGTTAGGCTTTCATGAGTGAAATGCTCTTCTGTTCTCAGGACTTCACAGTGTTTGGAGGCAGTTTATCAGGAGCTCACGCTCAGAAGGTCTGCAAGGTGAGGTTGGTTGCTGAGCGTTTTTTGGACCGGACTAGGGATATGCCGGTATCAAATTTTCATGTTGCGATTAATTGCTAATGCTTTTATTACGGTATACGGTATTATCACGGTATTGAAATTAAGTTTTAAAAAAGTGCTGTCATAATACAGTATAACAGGTTTAATAACTTTTTTCTTATAACAAAAATAACTGAACATTTAAATGCAATAAAGCAATACAGAAAAATGTATAAAGTTAAAAGTAGGGTTATTCTTAAAATGCATTCAAAATTCGGAATAATTTGTAATATTATTCACAGCGTTTAGAAGTGCCCACGATAACAATATCGTGCATATTAATTACCGTGATATATCGCATTACCGAGTACCGGCACAAGTCTAGACCTGACTAAAGTCATTTTGTTTAAAACACAGGCATAATGCTGTCAAACAGTGAGATTTCTCACAAAACTTCTGTAATTGAATTCCTAGATCATGGACCAGGCAATGATGGTGGGAGCTCCAGTAATTGGTCTCAATGACTCCGGTGGAGCCCGCATTCAGGAAGGCGTCGAGTCCCTCGCAGGATATGCTGACATTTTCTTGGTAAACTGAATGGTTTAACACCGCTATACATTTGATATATACACTTCCAAACAAAAGTTTGGGGTTGTTTTTTTTAATTAAAAGTCCCTCACCAAGACTGAATTTATATGATCAAAAGTACAGTAATATAGTTAAATAATATTACAATTAAAATATTTAAAGGATATTTTAAATTGCAATTTATTACTGTGATGGCAAACCTGAAAACTGTAGTGCTGCATATAGAATTTTTTTTTTGTGGAAACCGTGTTTTTTTTATTATTTGATGAATAGCAAATTCAAAAGAACAACATTTATTTGAAACCGAAATATTTTGTAACCAAAAATGTCTTTAAAAGTATTAATTTCTTAAAAAAAAAAAAAAAAAAAAACGTACTGACCCCAAACATTTGAATGGTAGTGTACGATACCAGTCAAAAGTTTTTGAACAGTAAGATTTGTAATGTTTTTAAAGAAGTCTCTTCTGCTCACCAAGCCTGCATTTATTTGATCCAAAGTACAGCAGTACCAACAGTACAGTTTAGAAATTATTTTACTATTTAAAATAAATGTTTTCTGTTTAATATATTTTAAAATGTAATTTATTCCTGTGATTGCTGAATTTTTAGCATCATTACTCCAGTCACATGATCCTTCAGAAATCATTCTAATATTCTGATTTGCTGCTCAAAAAACTTATTATTATTATTATTATTATTGAAAACACCCGAGTAGAATTTTTTCAGATTTCTTTGATGAATAGAAAGTTCAGAAGAACAGCATTTATCTGAAATAGAAATCTTTTGTAACATTCTAAATGTCTTTTTCATCACTTTTGATCAATTTAATGCATCCTTGCTAAGTAAAAGTATTAATTTATTTCCCAAAAAAACATACTGACTCCAAGCTTTTGAATGGAATAGTGTATAATGTTACAAAAGCTTTTTATTTCAGATAAATGCTGATCTTTGGATCTTTCTATTCATCAAAGAACACTGAAGAATGCAGTAATTATGCTGAAAATGTAGCTTTGATCACAGGAATAAATTGCATTTTAAAATATATTCAAATAGAAAGCAGTTATTTTAAATTATATTTATATATTATATTTAAAAAATATTTCACAATATTACTGTTTTTGCTATATTTTGGATCAAATAAATGCAGGCTTGGTGAGCAGAAGAGAATTCTTTAAAAACACTAAAAATCTTACTGTTCAAAAACCTTTGACTGGTAGTGTATATAATCCAGGATTAACTCTGGACAATGGGATTTGTTCTTCAGCGGAATGTGATGGCCTCAGGTGTAGTTCCTCAGATCTCTCTCATCATGGGCCCGTGTGCAGGTGGTGCCGTGTACTCGCCTGCTCTGACAGACTTCACTTTTATGGTGAAGGTACGAAAATACAAGTTAAGAGTATAAATGCATATTGAATTAAATTTAGGTTACTTGTTCCCTGATGGCACACTGGTTTTTCATGAAATGGCCTGTGTTTGCAGGACACCTCCTATCTGTTTATCACAGGCCCAGATGTGGTAAAGTCTGTAACAAATGAGGATGTTACCCAGGAGGAGCTGGGTGGAGCAAAAACCCACACCACTGTGTCCGGTTGGTCTGTTTATTAAGCCTATGCTTACATCTGAATGTGTTTTGTGACAATGTTTGGAATTTTTAATTTTGTTCTCTAATCTGACTGAGTATTTCCTTGGCTCACCAGTAATATAAAGAGATTTTGTTTTCCTTTAGGTGTTGCTCATCGGGCCTTTGAGAATGACATTGATGCCCTTTTGAACTTGCGAGACTTTTTTAACTTTCTCCCACTGAGCAATAAAGATCCAGCTCCGGTCACTGAGTGCCATGATCCTCGGTGAGAAACACACATTTGTACAATTATTTGTTTTTCTTTATCAGTCAAATTATCTTGGCTAGTGTTTTCAGTCACGAGGAATCATGTCAATTTATTTTTTCCTCAGTGACCGGCTGGTTCCTGGTTTGGACACTATTGTTCCTCTTGAAAGCACAAAAGCCTATGACATGCTGGACATTGTTCATGGTGTATGTACATCTTTATAGAGAACAAATGATTCAGATAGTCAGGTAAAAACTCATCACACAGTTCTTATGATTGTCATCTCACTCTTACAGATAGTAGATGAGAGAGAATTCTTTGAGATTATGCCCAACTACGCCAAAAATATTGTGGTGGGATTTGCCAGGATGAATGGTCGGACAGTAGGCATAGTGGGAAACCAGCCTAAAGTGGCATCTGGTGGGTGATTTATATTATATTATATTATCATAAGTTTGAGGTTATTAAGCATTGTTGTTTTAATAGTTTTATTCAGCAAAATACACATTAAATGTATCAAAAGTGACAGTAAAGACTTAAAATTTTTTTCCTAGTAAGTGCTACTGTATTGTATTACAGTAAGCTTTACTGTATTTATTTCTATTGTATTTAATAGTGCACTAAGCATAAGAGACTTCTTTCAATAACATTAAAAAATGTTTTTACCCCAACCTAAATGGTAATGGATATTATATATAAAATTTCATTAATACATTTCACAGTGGTTTTTAATTTTTGATGTCATTTTCCTTGTGTTTTCAGGCTGTTTGGACATAAATTCATCTGTTAAAGGGGCTCGCTTTGTTCGTTTCTGTGACGCCTTCAACATTCCCATCATCACATTTGTGGATGTGCCTGGATTCCTGCCAGGTGTCTAGAAACTTTCGTTATCCTAACCTTAACTTTGCTGTTTTTTTTTTCTAATTAATTTTATCCTGAATTACCAGCACGTGTTTCCTTTTTAAATAAGACACTGAGAGAATGCTCTGTTTCCACAGGCACAGCTCAGGAGTACGGAGGCATCATCAGACACGGAGCCAAACTGCTATATGCTTTTGCAGAGGCCACCGTTCCAAAAATTACTGTCATCACCAGGAAGGTAGGAGGCAGAATGATGAGTGTGTGTGTGTGTGTGTGTGTGTGTGTGTGTGGATGGTTCTAACTGTCTTGTATGCTGAATAATGTATGTTCTGTCTCCAGGCTTACGGAGGTGCTTATGATGTGATGAGTTCTAAACATCTGAGAGGAGACGTCAACTATGCCTGGCCAAGTGCTGAGGTCGCAGTGATGGGTGCAAAGGTAAACCTAAAGAAAAATGGGCTGAATCTAGTGACATGGCTAAATAAATATAGATATCAAAATGGGTCCCATCCCATATAAATAAATTTGTTCCAGCAGTCCCTAATAAAAGAGTCCCTGTACCCACGAGACTGTAAGGAGCAGTCGTGAGAGTGTTCAGAGAGCTCCTGCACACTAGCTTTAGTCCAGTGCTGCTGCTGATATACACTTGCACTGCAGCAATGATCACTATGCTTGGCTCTCGTTGGTGATTATGCTGCTTGAGAATGTCCTTCTACTCGTTTCATTTCTACACTGGAGTTGAGTAACAGGTGCTGCTGACTTAGAGTTTGGATAGCACCGATCATATCACATGTTGACTGTTTAAAGTACAAACTATAAATATTTCTGCTGGGTGTCCAATAGTGACACTAAAGCAACAATGATGCACGTTGATTTTCCAGTGATGAATTAGCCTTATATTTTATATTTTAACGTATACACACACACACAAATTTGGAGTCATTAAGATTATCACCAAGGCTGCATTTATTTAAAAATGGTAATATTAAAATTGTATTAATTTTAATTACCGTTTAACATTAAACTTTACAACATTACTGTTCTTTATCTGTATGAATATATTTAAAAAAGTAATATTTTTGTGTTGTGATGGCAAAGCTGAATTTTCAGCATCATTACTGTCACACGATCCTTCAGAAATCATTCTGATGTGCTGATTTGGTGCTCAAGAAACATTTATTATAATCCATGTTGAAAACGGTTGCGCTGCTTTTTGCAATTTTGTGTACACCTGGATAATTTTTCCCAGGTTTGCTTGAAAGTACATTTGAAAAATATCGTTTGTAACAAATGTCTTTACTGTCACTTTTGATCAACAAGTAATGTAGTGTATTACAGTTTCCACAAAAATACAGTATCAAGCAGCAAAAGCTGTTTTCAACATTCATAGTTAATAAGAAATGTTTGTTGAATACCAAATATAGTACCATATTGCAATGATTTCTGAAGGATAATTTTCAAAGCTGAAAATTCAGCTTTGACACCATAGGAATAAATTACATTATAAAATATATTATAGAAAACAGTTATTTGAAATTGTAATAATATTTCAAAACATTACTGTTTTTAATCATATATTTTGTAGCCTTGGTGAGAGGCTGTTTTCAAAAACAACTCTTAACCTTTGAACAGAATATATTTTGAATAACTTGTGATTTTAAACAAAAATAATTCATCCAGTGTTCACAATAGCTGGACAAATCATGGAAATTGATTGGTCAGAAAGTGTGAAACCCTATAATATTTCTGAAATGTGCTATATAGTAATACATATTTAAATTGTTTAAGGGTGCTGTTCAAATCATCTTCAGAGGAAAGGAGAATCAAGCCGAGGCTGAAGCTGAATATGTGGAGAAGTTTGCCAATCCCTTCCCTGCTGCTGTCAGAGGTGCATCACCAGACACAAAACACATTCATCTTCACAGCGCTTGCTCAACATGTTTACCCCACACTGTGTTTGCGGTACAAGTGTGCTCGCTTCTGCTGCTATTTGTGTATTATTGCTAAATAATAATTCATGTATTTCACAGGCTTTGTGGATGACATCATTCAGCCCTCGACCACACGCAAGAGGATCTGTAGAGACCTTGAGGTGCTCGCCAGCAAGAAACAGACCAACCCCTGGAAAAAACATGCCAACATTCCCTTATAAATCTCATCTCAACACTAATTTTATAGCATTTTATGACAATATCTGTGGTTAGACTGGAGAGAATGGCATGCTTTTCCACATGGTTCATTGTGCCTTATTCCCACTCATATGCATTACGCTACTATTTCAACATTCTCAAATCAATAAAACACTCCCACGGTTCATGATTACATATTTAATTTTTTTTTTCTGAAAAAGTGAGTTTTCCATAAGTTCACTGAAGAAAAGTTTTAGAACAGTTTTCCATTAAAAGGGAAAGTGGTACATCATTTCTAGGTTGTACAAAAGAAAACCATTATATATTGAAAATGTACAATTTACAGGTACACTAGCAAAACTAACTGGGGCTCAGGGTGGGGAATAATAATGATGATCATGGGAAACTCATGTTGTTGACAGTATAACATTTCACTTTTTGATAGCACAGGACTATAAAGCACTTAAACGGGCCTGACTCGACACACGGCACAGCAGCCTCTGCGGTTTCACCCGGACAAGAGCAACTGACGAAAACCCTGCCGTATAGATGTTCCGCACAAATAAACCTCACCTCATTAGAACTAAATCTACTGGAAATAAAATACTGACCATTCAAATGCTTCTGCAAGCCAAAATACACAATATGTAGTGTAATGCCCCTTCAGGACAACTGTCACAGAGATTTTTGGCTTTCTGACAATATTAACTGCATTTTTAACACTGACCAAACGTTTCCCACCTTCCTTCATCATTTACCATAATTATGACTACTGAGTGTTGTTTTATATGTAGATTTAGATTGATTGAAGATTGACCAACATGTATGATGCTTGTTGGTGGGAAGAATCCGTTCGTTGACCTGATAGTAAAAGCGACTTCATAATCTAACTGTACAGGGCATATAGAGAGTAGGATGGATAAACACAAATATGTACATCTTGAACATATAGGACCGTACATTTACATTTGTACCACAATGTAAATCCCATCCAGTGCGATTCTAATGAGCTGACAAAGAACTTGTTCGAAAGAAAAATTCACCATATGTGACATGACTGGACTGCATCTGTTAAAATTACCTCCGGATGAATAAAAGCATTTGATAAAAGAGGATGGTTGAGGGTTTGTGGAGAGTTTGCTCCAGAATCACTGAACCTGGACACCAGTGCTTCCGCTCTTATATGAATGTCTCTCCAGCCCTTTAATCACGTCAAACTCTTTTTCCATCTGTTGTGGCACCTCAGAACATGGGCATTGTGAAACCCTGGGGAAAAATAACAGGTGATCATTTGTTGATAATTAGGGCTGCATGATTTAGGGGAAATATCCAATTGTGATATTTCTGATTAAAGCTCCAGGAGCCTCATTTATAAAATGTGCGTACGCACAGATTTGATCTTAGAGTGTGCGTACGCTAAAAACCACGGCAACGTTCATATTTATAAAAACGGTCTTTTTAGGACGGTTCATACGCAACATTTTATAAATGAGGCCCCAGGTTTGATGTGCTTGCAGTGCTGCACAATTTGGCATTTTTTTGTGATTATATATCAATATGACTACACAATAATAATTATATTTAATAATATTTAAATAATATATCTGGGAAATAAAATAATTAAATCTGGGACGATGGTTGGCACGTTGCATTTTTAAAGCAACCCAAACTCATTGGCACTTGATGTGGAGCAGCATTTACCACAAACTGAAACACTGAAAACGCTGGATCACGAGCTGCTCTAAAAAGTGCATCGCATATATTTATTGACAATCACGGAAGTCATATTGTGATTTTTGGATTCATTTTAAAATATATTCAAATAGAAAGCAGTTATTTTAAATAGTAAAAATATTTATAGTCATGCAGGCCTACGGACAACACAGCCCTGCATTTTGGCTGGTTTGCAAAAAAAGGCCTAATATTACCCAATTTGATGATGCTGGGTTAAAAAAGATCAATATAAACTTTCATCACACAGTTTTTCCACACACACACACACAAGATTTTACAAATTATATGTATCAGCTTTAATGCACTTGTCAAAATAACCAAAGAAGTCAAATTTCAAAAGTTTTAATGACAAAAAGTAGTTTACAAAATGCATAATTTACTTACAAACTGCAAGGGAGTGGAAAATGTATTCATGTGAAGTTCTTTGACATTAAATGTAGTATTGGAACACAAGCTTATAAATAAGCTTTTTTTCCACAAAATTAAATTTTCGGTCACTATTTGGATGTAGTAAAACACAGCATGTATGTAGCTGGGTCATGTTTGCTTTTTCTTCTGTCACTTGCCATAATTCTAATCTTAAAATCAGGATTAGGCATAAAGTAATGTCTTCAAAATCATTCATTCACATGTGAAAATCAGCTGAGAATTGAGCAAAGCTATAAACTGTAAGCTTTGAGCCAGTTTTTCTGGTGATTAAGGGATAATACAAGACATCCTCACCTTACAAATGGCTATCGAAGGCCAAAATGCTACAAAAAGCGCATCATATTTTATGAGAAAGTGTGATGTGCTAAGCCACTATTTTTTAAAAAAGATCAATATAAACTTTCATCACACAGTTTTTCCACACACACACACACACAAGATTTTACAAATTATATGTATCAGCTTTAATGCACTTGTCAAAATAACCAAAGAAGTCAAATTTCAAAAGTTTTAATGACAAAAAGTAGTTTACAAAATGCATAATTTACTTACAAACTGCAAGGGAGTGGAAAATGTATTCATGTGAAGTTCTTTGACATTAAATGTAGTATTGGAACACAAGCTTATAAATAAGCTTTTTTTCCACAAAATTAAATTTTCGGTCACTATTTGGATGTAGTAAAACACAGCATGTATGTAGCTGGGTCATGTTTGCTTTTTCTTCTGTCACTTGCCATAATTCTAATCTTAAAATCAGGATTAGGCATAAAGTAATGTCTTCAAAATCATTCATTCACATGTGAAAATCAGCTGAGAATTGAGCAAAGCTATAAACTGTAAGCTTTGAGCCAGTTTTTCTGGTGATTAAGGGATAATACAAGACATCCTCACCTTACAAATGGCTATCGAAGGCCAAAATGCTACAAAAAGCGCATCATATTTTATGAGAAAGTGTGATGTGCTAAGCCACTATTTTTTGGAATCAGCACCCCAAAATGAGTAAGAAACAAGTATTGGATTTCATTCAGCAAATATGATGCAGGGCAGTGTAATTCTATATTTATATAATAAGTTAAAGCCTTGGCGATTCCGATGCAGTATAAGAGATTAATTGTGCAGTGACTATAGTCAGATTTTTTATTATCGGGAGTTTTTGCGAGATTAAACGGACCTTTTTAGTAGCCTAATGTTGAGAGTTCTTTAGGCCTACTCGCTTTCTGTACACAGTTTATTCCATGTTGTTTTTTTTTATTATTTTATTTTACAAGGGAACTTGCGAAGACTTGTTTTAGCGTCTTCAAAATCATTCATTCACATGTGAAAATCAGCTGAGAATTGAGCAAAGCTATAAACTGTAAGCTTTGAGCCAGTTTTTCTGGTGATTAAGGGATAATACAAGACATCCTCACCTTACAAATGGCTATCGAAGGCCAAAATGCTACAAAAAGCGCATCATATTTTATGAGAAAGTGTGATGTGCTAAGCCACTATTTTTTGGAATCAGCACCCCAAAATGAGTAAGAAACAAGTATTGGATTTCATTCAGCAAATATGATGCAGGGCAGTGTAATTCTATATTTATATAATAAGTTAAAGCCTTGGCGATTCATTCTTACCGACTCATCCTCAATCATGGCTGCAGAGTCAAAGAAGTCCGGTCTTAGCTCTGCTCTCTCCCGCCTGTTCCTGGATGGAGGCTGCAGAGGATTTAAGATCATGTGATTTGGAATTTCTATCTACAGTATATTTAATGACGTAAGCACTCTTGAGATACTTTTATTTGCTAGCATCATCTGATTACCAGATCAATGACCATGGTGTCCTCGAATTCCTCACTCATGTCTTCCAGCTGACCTCGCGACGACATCATGACATCCTCAAAGATGGGCTCTGCGTCATCCTCCATGAGACCACGTCTAGATTAGAGACATCAAAGTAACATTAACTACAGCTCGTTCCTCATGTCAAACATCCCACATTTCTTTCGCCACATACACAGTCTGTCGTACGCCTCCGCTACGGGCCTTCATGTAGTTCATGGCTGTGCGTTCTTTCCTGTTCACCTCCTCCATCTTCTGCTGGCCGAGCCAGGACATCTGCATCTGAGGACTGACCCGAGAGAAAAAACACTTCATACAATGCACATACTAGCTGACAAAATACTTGCTGTTAACTAAAACAAAAACTATTAAAGATTTTGTTAATTGAAATACATCTGAAATAAAATATAAATATAAGATTAGATTTAAAAATTGAAGAAATGTTGCCATGGCAACTAAAAGAAATAAGTTGAAGTTGAAGTATTCAATTGACTAACTTAAAATACAAAACTAACTGAAATAAAAATAAAGTTAGATAAAAAAAAACTAAAAAATGACAAACTAAATTTGAAATAAATACTAAATTCAAAATATAATACGATTAGATTTAAAAATTGAAGAAATGTTGCCATGGCAACTAAAAGAAATAAGTTGAAGTATTCAATTGACTAACTTAAAATACAAAACTAACTGAAATAAAAATAAAGTTAGATAAAAAAAAACAAAAAAATGACAAACTAAATTTGAAATAAATACTAAATTCAAAATATAATACACTAATAGTATACAAATAATATTAAACTAACACTAGTTGCGTCTAAAAATCACATACTGAGGTAGTGGTAACTACATTTTGGAAACTTCGCAACAGTTAAAAATGAGTGCGTTATATAGTATGAATATGCTAATACGAATGAAATTACTACATCCACCATGTCACATGACCTACCAGCGTCAGTTGCGCTGCTACAGAGCCATTTACAACTCCTCTCCCATGGCTTAATGTGATAGTAAAGTGTCCATCAAATGCACTACTTTTTTTTTTGCATACTATTAATTGAGACATACTACTTTTTTGGTGTACTGTTGTTGTTGTTTTTTTTTTTGCATACAAACATAGTAGGGAAGTATGCATATACAGACATAACGACTAAATGCAACATTATAAATATCCAGTTCAGGGATGTGATTTTTCCGTATAAATACG